AAGAATAGTGCAATGTCAAAAATTGAAGGTCATAAATATCTGTATTTGATAAGCATCTGATAAGGTTGAATACAAAATAAAATATTTAATAAAAATATTAATTAAAGCCATTGGATTTTAACTGTTGATCATAAAATAATTAATACATACAAATCAATTATATCCGTAGGGTTAGACACAGGCTTATCGCATTTGTAACCATTATATGGTGCATGAAGGTGAGCATTGACTCCAGCAGTCTGTGATCCATACCTGAAAAGTAATAACAAATGCATTTCTAAACATGAGCTAGAGAGTGGAGGTGTTTTGTGACGTTTTCTTGATGCAATGTTTGGAGGATTGTTATTTTGCTCTTCACTATTCAACCTTAGCAAGCTGGTTTAAATGACTATGTATAATCTATTGTATTAATTATAATGAATAAGTAATTTTATTGTTTTATGTTAACTATCTTAGTTAACATAATGTGTATTTATTTTTATGTAATACATCCAACTTGATGGAGTATCAGTGTAAATGTGTGACAAACAGCCGTGAACCATTCCTAGAATTAATAATGCGTCGTGAATTCAAGAGCTTTTCGAAATATTTTTTCTTAAAAATTGCTCCGAACTTAGCAATAAATAATTACATCCAGCATCAGTTTTTACTGTTCTATAATATTCTTGCAATATTGTTCAGTTGTTCTATTATTAGAGGATCTTGAAATTTGAAAAAATTGTGAAAAAGTTTTAGCGCCAACAGATGGCACCTGAGAAGAGATGGGACGAAATAGAAAAGCAACCAGACGCAGAGGATTTAAAATATTATTTCGATAAAGTCTGTGTCATTCTATAGCGCACGCAGTTAATACACTTTTCACTTTTTCCCGGTAAGCTAATCATTATGTTGTTGAATGTTTGGTCACGTAGATACTAAGCAAGTAACTTATTTAGGTTTAAACTCTAAGAATTTTGCAAATTGTAATCTCACATTGTCATTCCTCTAAATATATGAAAAGTACAGACACAAATTTTGTTACTCTTTAAAGCATGAGACATTGTAACGAACAATAGATGTTACTAACGAATTCAGAGTTGTTCATTTTTCTATAGCTTCCTCTATAGCACCTCCTCCAGCTAACAATACTTTTTCACCAGTTTTTTAACCCGAAAGCCTTAGAACCACTTCTGCATTATGGAGAGAGTTTGAAGTCTTTGCATCATTGAGTGATACCTACTTGACAAAAACCGTCCTTTTAAGTTTTTTTTGACACCTAGAGGCAAACATTGTAAAAGTACAATCGACGATTTGTCACTCAGGAAGACTGTGAGCACTGTTAAGCCCTCGCTGCCCTTTCTCCCCTGTCATGTCAGTAAGGGTGACTACTTATCGTGAGATCAACTCAAAGAACGCAGCTTAAGTTGCTGCGAATTGAACCATATTGTCATCACAGTTTACCAGTATCCATTCCAAAGTGGTCGCCATCGACCCTTTTGGGTTCAATTCTGTACATTCTTATGGTGACAGTTTCAAACAAACAAAAGGGATCGACACAACTAAATCTTCACCTCCTTGCCACTCCTATTAATTTAACAGCATAAATATAAAAATAATAATTAATAATAATTACATTTATAATAGTAATAATAACCATTATGGTTCGTTCATTTAAAATATACGCGATTTAAATAGGTAGTACCAAATGAATTAAAAACATACACAAGATTAATTTCGTCTACACAGTGAAAAGCGTCCCACAGACGATCATTCATATTTTTGTATAAAAAAACGTACCGCACGAGCTTAATTCATATCTATGAGTAATGTGTCAGTATCAAAAAAGTTAATCAATAGGGGGAATGAAAACCGATGCATGCACAACCGTGAGATGTGTGAAGAAATAATATCATTTTCCACATCATTTCCATTTTTTATAAAGTAATTTCAATTTGTGGACTTATTTCAAATTGATTCTTTTATTTTACGCAAAATCCAATGTTTAAGTTGTGAGAGGTTGCAGTTCTTTAATCAAAATATGCCCGTTCTGACCCTTAATAGAAAGTCCTGCATCTCCTTAAAGATAACTACTTCTGAAGTGTCACTCATCACGCCAGTAATGTTTCTTTAAAAGATAAGTTTCCAAATGATACTTTCGAAAAATATACAACGGAAAACATATATTTTAAAATAGGGCACATTTTCTCACCTGAAATGATCATTTTAAAAAAAAGAATCCAAAATAACAAAACAATCCAGATCGTTGTACATGTTCACACCACTAAAAGATATACACTACGGTACATGTTACTCACTCAAACAAAGCAAAACATTTGTTAATTATTACCTGGATATGAAAAGGAGCTTGACGTCACACATCGTCGTCCTATCTTCATACGCCTTCCGCCATGCTGCAGTCAATTTCCACCTCAACATCCGAAAGGTTTTTCTGCTCTTCAGTTTTTCCCCAATGACTTCCATCTTTTTCAAATGTGCATTAACCATTGCGAAAAAGATTTTTGCCGGATTTCGAGATCAGTAATTAACGTGAGAGAGAACATCTAATATTCATTATGTTAGCCTTCCTGCTAATATTTGCGAAAAACCAGGATCCAGATATGGACGACATCTTTCAACTGACATTCATATTTAACTCAACAAACAGTTAAAAACTTTAGTGAACGCAAAAACACACGAGAGAAGTGGTATCAGGGTAGTTTGTACAGTAGCTATTGAACATCGTTATTATCAATAGTGTGTTTCCTGTTCCGTACGTGCAGAGCCCCTTCCGTTGTTAATGGATCAGCTCGGGAGGGAGGTTTAAAACGTTGAAGGCGACGAGCAATTGTTCTAAACATTTCAGATGCACTAGCTTCTCTGACAGCGCATTTTTAGGTCGTACTCCACTTCCCCAGACAGCAAGTACAATTGATTGATTAAAGGTTTTAGTGATACCTGGCACGTCAACTACAAGGGTCATTATTCCCGTAAGTGTATTGCATGTTTTTGCTCTGGAGGTGGCGGTGATCTTTCCCTCGATGTATGGCATGGTCTGGCACCGACCTACCGGCGGCTAGTGAGGGTTTCCCCAACCAGTTATCTCCCACCAGCCGGGCACCACCCCAACCCAGACTAAGCTCCCGACTGGTCTCCCGGCACGTGTACTTGTGTAGTGCGCGTAAGTGTGAATGCAAGGGGAGACAATAGGAGAAGGAAGAGGTAGGAAAGATCCGCGATCCATTTGATAGGGTACTGCTTCGGCATTCCCCTGGTGTTGATCGGAGAAATCACGGAAAACTACCGATCAGACTAGCCGGGCACTAGAATTCTCAAGACAATTCTCAGGACTCGAACCTAGGACCTCCCGGTCAGAGGGGCTGTAGTGATATCAGTTGATGTCCTAAGCCATCTCTCCCGCTAGCAAGTACAATGACCCTCACTCAGTTCCACGATATTGACTATTGCACTTTTATTGCATTCCCAACGGATTATTAGAACTAATTATATATTTTTATTTAGCAACTTTAATACTATCACGGAACGATGGTATTCAAACTTAAGAATAATGCGAACGATTTTGTTAAAAGAAATAAGAACTAATCGCATTTCATATCGATAATTTCACATCGAATAATAAAGATTTTGGCAAAAACAATTTACGAAACAATTAAAGAAACTCTTTAACATGATTGTATCGTGCGTTTTTATATTTCTTCCCTATACAATAGTACAGGAGGGAAAGTATTGTTATGTGCTTAACCATACGATCTCGAATTTACGGTAGTATCACGTACTTAGGGTTATTTTGAGCTGCAACTTCATGCACATTCAGGTTTAAAGTGAATGAAAGTTATTTCACAGATGGTTACGATTGGTGCAGGGGGCGAGGAGAAACGTGCAATTTTGCGCCCGATAATCGGGAGGCATATAATGGATGTGTCACACTCAACGCTGTCAGATTACAAGCTTTTAGAATCTTGGTAAACACATTAGGAGCAACATCTAGTCCCCCAATTCAGAAGATCATTAATGTATTTGAATTTTGGCGGTATTTTACAAGAAGTCCTTGCAACATTTTCTAACTTTTCTGAAAAATGGAAAAAAATATGTTTTTTCCATTTTTTGATGGAATAAAAGTGAAATTATAAATATAGTTTTGATTTTCATTAAAACCGCTTACATTTTTAACCGCTCACATTTGTGAAACTTCAAATTCATTTTAATCAGCAATGTTAAGGCCAGAGAGGTTTTTCTCAAAGCAATATCTCTCAGTTGTAATTATTGATGAGGTCACATACTTTTTAAAAACATCAGTAATAGAAGGAAAAATTGTCGGTATATTGCGCGTTCCCACGAGTTTTCTATTACACCGTCATCACCTGAATATACAGAACCGTCTGAAATTAAATGCATTATTAACAATTGAAACAAGCAGTTGTAGAATTATTATTTTCCATGAGGTTTCATACACATTGCAAGGGCAAGGATGCATGTACAATCAATATCAATTGCTAAAGGTAAACAAATCGATTATTTTGAAACAGCCTCATCTCTTCTAACTGAAATACAACCCGCTAGAAAACACCGCATCTCCAGGAGATGGACTATTCGAAGTTATCACGGGACTACACATGCCCAAATTAAATTAAATTCATTAAATTACTATATGTAGCAATTCACATGTACTAAAGCTAAAACAAAGTTCTGAACAAAATGGCGATCTTAAATCATTTCCGAAAGATTGTAATTGTGATATTTGGAGATCATCGATTCAATTGAACCTAGAATTTAAAATTACGTTTATAACATTCTCTAAACGTATGGGGCAAATAATGCCAGAAAATAAGTTATCGTAATATATTTTATATAGACTGCAGAAATCTACTCACAACGCAGATAAAATATTTTACTGAACATATTACAATTTTGTTGAAAAGGTTCGTTGAAACGTAGTTCTTGCCACTCGTCCCGCGAGCAGAAATCAATTTACGATTAAAAACACAAGCAATTTAACAAAGTGGTCATGTTTCAGTCCTGTGTTCGCTATCGACGTGATTTTCTTCGCGGCCTTTCTGTTCTGTGTCTTCTGTCTTCTCGTCTTCGCTCTTTGCCGCATCATCCTTTCGGACTCGCGCTGTTTCGTTGCCGCCCTCGGCTGCCATCCGTTCGTATTGGTCGGGAGCGGAGACCGGGGCGCTCTCGAGTGCGGGCGCCTTCTCGAGCGCGGGCGCCTTCTCGAGCGCGGGTGCCTTCTCGAGCGCGGGCGCCTTCTCGAGCGTGGGAGCCTTCTCGAGCACTAGCCCCTTCTCGAGCGCGGCCGCCTCGGTGCGGTGGTTGCCGTCCGCCACGTGGCGGCGCTCGAAGTGCGCCTGGATCTCCTCGAGCGACCGCCCCTTGGTCTCGGGCACGCACACCAGCACGAACACGCAGCTGGCGACGCACAGCGACGCGTAAACCCAGAAGGCGCCGGCCTCGCCCAGCGCGCCCGACAGGTCGTGAAACGTCTTGATCACCAAGAACATCACCGCCAGGTTGAAGGAGCCCGCGGCCGAGCTCAGCACGCCGCGCTGCACCGCTGGCAGCATCTCGGACATCATGAGGTAGGGCAGCGTGCACAGCCCCACGGAGAAGCCCACCATGAACACGATGAGGCTGGCCAGCGGCAGCGCCCTACGCAACACACGCCCGGTCCTCTCAAACACTCCCTCTGCACGCCACGCCCCCTTCGACTCCCACAATCCCTCTCATGCACCGAACACCGAGGCACAACCCGCCCCTTTCAAATCCCTCGCATGAACCAAATACAAAGGAAAGTCATACTCCTTTCCACTCCCGCATTCTCACATCAACCAAACTGCGACGCACAACACTCTCCTTTCCACTCCCATATATTCTCATATGCACAAAGAACATGGCACAACACGCACCTTTCAACACCCACAATGCCTCGCATGCAACAAACTCAAAGGCAATCCATACCCCTTTCCACTCCCACAATCCCTCACATGCACCAAACACAGAGCCACGACACGCCCCTTTTCACTCCCTCAATCTCTCATACACAACACTCCCCTTTCAACTCCCGAAATCCCTCACATGCACGGCACACCAAGACAAACCCATGTGCCACTTCCGCAGTTCCAAAGAATCACCAAACACCAAGGCACACCACAAAACACCGTCTAGATATTATCCACGCACGTTTTCTTGAATCTTTACCTTGCTCGATGCAGGAGGAGTGAGGGGTTTGATTATTTTGCTGACAGGACTGTCATATGAAATTTGTAGCTCATTGTTCCATTACACGGTTCATAATTTCTATTACACGGTAGCAAACATTTCTGATCATCGGAATTTGTCAACAAAGCTTGTTACTATCATTTATACAGAATTCAACTAATGTTCGTAAAGGAGTGGAAGTAGGAATTCCAGGACTCAAGAAAAAGTGCGCGTAAAATACAAGGCCTGCGAACTGGAGTTTTCAAAGCCAATATATCGGCTAGAGAAGGCCGGCTTGTCCGAGTTGAGGCGATCCAGTTGTACACTCGCACGTTGAGTAGCACGTATAGCTTTCAAGTTGAGGTTATGTAGATGTGGAGTGTTGTTCATAATAGTGAGAAATATTGTGAATAAGGGTTGTCCCCAGGTGAGCGAATTATGTTAAAAAGTGAAAAGTATAAGTTGCTAAGTTCAGCGTTTACTTTCAGCTTTGTGAAGTGCATTTGCAAACGTGAGAAATTGAGAAGAATTGAGTATTCTATTGTGATAACGGACTGAACATTTGTCTTCTTGTAAAACATACACGATCATCGAGACAATCAAGCCGTTTTTGAGAAGATGGCGTTTGAGCGTTTCTGAAAATGCCAAATTTTGAGCTACTTTCCTCAGAAAACGGTTGAGTTTTCAATAAACTTTATCCCACATTATTTAAAACACATGTACTCATAAATATAATGTGAACAAATAGCTGCTAATGTAAATATTAACAACGTGAGAGACAAGTCAAAAAATTACATTTTTGTACTTAAAAAAAGAAAAGAGCAATATGGTATTTTTGTTATCTCAGAGTGCATTTAGCATTCTCCCTGCCAAAGGTTTAAAGAAAAAAATTGTAGCAGTTCTTGAGAAAATCTTGGTTTTGTATTTTTTAATAATTGCAATATTGCACGCAATATTGCGCGAGAACTATTAGAATTTTCAAAAAATGTACAGGATCCTAATGAAAGAACTTACTATGGATAACAAATTTTATTTGAAGGAAAAATATTTGTCTTCAATTTTGTAGTTGAAATTTTCAAAAATAACCGTGAAAATCGGACCTACGCCACCTTTATAAGTGCATTTTACTATATTCTTCGAAGAAATTTAACAAACAAATAGGTGTTTTTGAGAAAATGTGTGCTGGAGGCTTTATGTAAAGTACCTCCAAATTTTGTAACAAAGTTTTTCAAAATCGCAGCGCTTCGAGTACAGCCAGTTCGACTGGAGAATATCCACTTTTCCGTTCTACTATCAGAAAACCGAATAATTAAGATTTTTTAAAAAAAGGTGTTTTGGGCGATAGATGGAAGTCGGCAAGTTCGTACAGCTAGACGAGACCAAAATAAATAGAAAACTAATACGGAAAAGACTGTGCCATTCTGAAGCACTACAAGTTATGTTAGTTATATGACCTTGTCTTTATCTTATAATAATAACAGTATCAATAGAAAGTGAATTCTTTTACGTCTAAAAAATAACTTAAATTTACGTATAAGATTCCAGTTAAAGAAAGTAAACCTCCATTCGTCTTATTTGATAGTATAATTTATTAAATATTTTCGTCTGCTAACCATAATTTTATTTTGCATTTAAGTATGTATGGCCATCTTTGGCGGCCACCTTGAAAAACTGCTCAGGCCTTGTATATCTGGTTAGTGTTGCACCACACCCCTTTCGATCCCTGTAATCCTACAGATGCTCAAAAAACCAGGCCAGAGAAGGCTATAATGAGCAAGTAGCAATAAAAGAACAAACAAAACGCTTATAGAAAACTACCTCCCTTACCATTAGAAGGTACTGTTTACCAAGCATAGTAATATGGGCCATAGAGTTCAGTACAAAATCGAAGAAAAACGATCTGTTTGGAACCTGGATTCAAATAAAAATATAAAATAATCTCAAGCAACATTTTAGTCAATCGGAGAAGAAAAAGACCGGGACGGTCATGGAACCAAGCAAGAACGAATGTAATATCACGGTAAGTGATCATAATATTCAATTTAAAACCTAGAAAAATTGTCAAAAAAAGATAGCGCATACTACAAACCAAATGCTAGTTAGAATTCAGTGCAACATTTGTGAATTTTAGCCAAAATTTCAGATACAAAAGATGGAACTTGATGGAAAGCAGTTTTCAACCGAAAGAAAACAATATTACCATATATAATTATTTTCAGAGGGTAAAATATTGAAATTTTCCCATGCAAATTTTCTAGGTATCTAACATTTTTATCAGGAGACAGCTAGAGCGGTTTAATTTAAAAACTCAATAAGCTAGCGGTCTATGCTTTTATTTAACATAGATCACTTTTTTGAATGATAGAATTATTTCGAATTGAATATTTACGCACAATAGGAAAGAACTAGTTGGTCCCTTGCATATATTCCACACTTAGTAATCATTATTTTAGAAGTGAAAATAGCTTCATATTGGATCCCAACTCCAGGCCCGAAAGATAGCTGCATTTAGAAGCATGATGAGCCAAATGAAGTCGTAGGCTTCCGCGGCCAGAGTCATGTGAGTAATCGGGGCTGTCCGGGTGACGCCGCGTCGAAGGCTGTATTGCCGACGTTTCGACCATCTTGTCGTGGACCATACCAGCTCTGAGGAAGACCACGACAGGATGGTCGAAACGTCGGCAACACAGCCTTCGACGCGGCGTCACCCGGACAGCCCAAATCACGCATGATGAGCCAGTTTACACCTGTCATGATGAGCCAATTTAATTTTACATGCATTTGAAGGTTCTACACAATTCTGACAGTCCCTGCATGATACTGAGGGAGAGCTAAATTTCCAAAATATGTAAACGAATGTTTTATAGATAAAAGCTAAAAGAAATATAGGACGCCCCCATGTTTCCCTACATTTTCACTGCACATTGCTCAACATGTTCCTAGCACATTTTCAAGATGTTCCCCGTTCGGTGGTCGATAGATGAACAAACAAAATCATAAAAATAATGAATTTTCAATACTTTAGAGCAGTACTCAATATTCATAAATTTACAAATGTTTTATCGGAAATAGTAAAAAAAATAAACACTACCACGAAAGAACAAGATGTTTGCAAAGGATTCGTCGTTATGAGTGCATAGAATTGTGAGCCGGCAGTTGCTCACGGTGCGGCCACCGACCCATCCGGCCGCTTCGTGTTGTACTTTGTGCGCGGTAATAATCACTCGTCATCGTTTCATTTAGAAAATCCCCTCAGTCGCTGCTCTTACGCGCTGAAACGCACCATCAGGGCGAAGTATGAAACTGTATATTGTTTCTGAGTGCTTTTACTTGATTTGCTAGTGTTTTAAGGTTTCATTAGTTGTCATGCGCTAAAGTAATATGGAAGATACAGTAGTTTAACTGAAATGAAAACTGTTTTCAGACAAATTGCCACGAAAGTTAGTAAAATTTATGACAGAGAAAGTCTGAGCCTGTGGGCATTTGTAACCAAATAAATGAAATGTAGTAAAAGAGAAAAGACGATAAAAAACTCATATGATCATTGAAATGGGTTGGATAATGAAAAAGCATAAAATGAGCAACGAAGCTAATGTAGAAACGCAAGCAAGGTAGCATGAAATTAAGTATTCGCATCGAAGGAAAAAATAACAGGCACGCAAGAGAAATCAAAAATTAACGAGCTTGGGGGTCAACTCGCACCACCAGACGAAGTAG